CCGATTTCCAGTAGCAGCGTTCTTGCAGGAACAATCGTTTGCCACTCTTGTAAGGCCTCCGCGAGGATTGGAGGAAGGGTTGAGTCTTCTGTTTAACAGCTTCCAATTTTGTTTAGCAGCTTCTAACTTGCCCATGTAATTGTTTGCAGCAGCAGACGGTCCGAGCAGCAGAAGCCGAGGCATCTTGCAAAGCATTAAAGCGGTTTTCGCATCCTAACGAAATTATTCAAACCATCTTGAGAACATACATTACATATTGCGGTGCTGACAAAGAGACGCCGATCAAATTCATTCTGCGGTTGGTTGCATGCCCACGCCAGGAGGACGAGGAAAGGGGGAGACGCGCCATAAAGCGGGCAATCGAGGCTGGAACCGACCTTCAAAAGCTCAACGTGCGCATCCCTTCAACTCTGTGCTAATTTTTGCCAGGCGGTTCGAAAGCTGCTGCAAAACCGTGAATGACGGAGCGAGTGTAAACGCCGCGGTGCCCTGTTCTTGAGTGCTGCCATTGCTGTCGGGTTTGAGGCAATGCCAGCAGTAGTGGTTTGCAAGTAGTCGTACGAGTAGGAGTATGAGCACCTGCACGATCAATTTCAGAAGCGGTAGCACCAGTAGTTGTAGCAGTAGCAGTAGCAGTAGCTGCAGTAGTAGCTGTAGTAGTAGCTGTAGTAGTAGTAGGAGGAGGAGGAGGAGTAGTAGTAGTAGTAGAAGTAGAAGTAGAAGTAGACGTAGACGTAGACGTAGAAGTAGAAGTAGAAGTAGAAGTAGAAGTAGAAGTAGAAGTAGAAGTAGAAGTAGTAGCAGTAGTAGGCGATAGTAGGCACATTTGGGGTCCCCACACACGGAGGGGCACGACGGTTTTGGCTCCCCTGCCGATAAATAGGAATCATAGCTTCTGTCACGCGCAGTCGAACATGGATGCGAATCTAGTTACCCGTTGAAGGTTGAGTTTCCCACACACAGGAACCTCAAAAAAGAAACAAAAACCAAAAAACTTAGGGACAAAAAACTTATGTACAAAAAGCCGAAAACCTAAAACCTAGTTACCTGGCGAAGTGCAAGACGGCATCAGCTGTACTACACCGTAGAACTCTGCAATGGAGTAGGTCCTTGTATATGTACATATGTAAGCCCGACACCGTAGGAGCTTGCATTGAAGTGAATCCTTGCAAGCCCGACGCCGTAGTGCCGTGCAGCGAAGTAAGTCCCTGTAACCCGACACCGTAGGAGTCTGCAGTGATGTAGATGCCTGCAGGTCCAACACCATAGGAGCCTGCAGTGATGTAGATGTTGATCTCCATTGCTGCCGGCGGTGTGCTTCAAGACTTGAACTTTAAAACACAACCCTAGAACCCTAGAAAAGAAAAAGTCGTACTTAGACAAGGTTGCGCGCCAAGCGACTACTGTACAC